TTGTATTGAATAATGTTGGCTTCCAATCAGTTGTTCAGATTACCAGATATGTGTATGCAAAATTGGAAAGAAAGAAAGTTGTAAGAAATCATGAAGAAAAAATAAACAGAAGACAAGAAAGTAAACAAACAAAAAGTATATATATACTGACTCTCAACACTAGTCATACTCAACATGGTGTAGTCCAGACATAAATGGCATTTACTCTATGTAACTAAAGGAAACCAGGCAAAAGTCATTGCTTACAGAAATTTATGTAAGAAGAGATATTTCCATGTGATATTGCTGCATTTGATGTCTTTCTTCTTTTCTCTGCATTGTTCTGTTGCCATTAAGACTGGGTTTCTTTTGCCTGATGGGAATAAAAATCATGAATCAGCAAAGTGCAGCACTGTTCACAGTCCTGATGTTAGCAGATGACATCAGGAAATGTCAGGAGCCAACAACTGACATAGCCAACTCCTGGGCACAGGTTCTCATGGCTCTCACGTTCCAATGTCTGCTTGCTTTTTCTGGACACCTTTGGTCAACTGCACTGGGTATTGTTCTCAGCTGCTGGGTCTTCATTAGCTGCTTGCCACTAGTGGTTTTTGCTATTACAAACTCTGCTTGTTACTTTTTTTTTTTTTTTTTTGAAGACAGATCAGACACACTACTCAGGGTAAAATCCCAAGTAGATACACAAGACTTTTGAAGCCCATACCACCTCAGAAGTATACCATGAACAGAATTATAAGAAACAAAATGTGAATTTTTAATTTAACAAGACTTCTGCTACAGCATAAGGGGTCAGTAAAAAGGAGGAGCCCACCAAGTGGAATCTGTGAAATAACTGGGAAGTACTGTTCATGAAGCAGCAGCAGGCCTGTTTCAGGAAAGGGCAGGGCTGAAGGTTGCTACAAATGTTGTTATGCAAGTAAAGGGCTCATATTTCTCCCTACCTGAGCTTAGCCACTCGCTGGTGCTTTCTCTTTTCTTCAAAAGACACATCACACAGTATCCATTGATGTGATGGGAGTAGGAGAGAGGCAGCACCTACCTCTCTGACTACAATCATGTGAGAGTAGAGACCAAAGGTTTGATTGGAAACAAGGATACTGCTAGACAGCCTAGGA